ATTTTGTGGTCCCTGTTGTGGCTGTGGCCAGGCAGCCACATTTTGGTTGTAAACCTCTGGCCTCATCACAGGAAAATACTGGTGCTGAAATTGACTATTAAATCCAAGATTGTGATTGGTTGACTGAAATGTTCCTTGATTCTGATTGGCTACTTGAATTGCCCGTGGCTGTGGCATGTTTCGGTGGGGAAACTGGTAGTTGGGCAGTCTATTTTGACCATAGGCTGCATTTCCAGCTTTTAAATTGCCTGGGAATTGATTTTGGTTGAATGCCATGTTGCCAGTTCGCAGATTCAAGTTTCCCTTGGCTGCCACAAACTTGTTGATGTCTGCCCAGTTGTTCATCTGCATCGTTTGGGTCTTGAGATTCACACTGGGTGCGAATGGGGTATTGACTGCCTGCTGTTGCTCGCTGTTTGGAAATGCTGATGCCGGCCTAGTCTGCCTTGGAAACTGCTCCCTGGACTGTGCCTGTTGTGCCGTGGCGGCAGCACTAGCTCTCTGCCTGAAGTACTGATGGGGATCCTCTGGGACTGGTGAACCCCTGCGGCCCTGGAAGACAAGGCATGGTTTCTCTGGTTCAAGTTCCCCGGGGCTTGTGAGCCAACCTGACTCCCTGAGGGTGGCATCCCTCCACAGTCCCCTCCTGAACTTGGCAAGTTCCCCGGCATGGGCCTGCCGGGGAAATTGCCAGTGAAATATGGAGCCTCAAGGTGGTCTCCTCTCATGAGATGACTGGGATGGAGATATTCCGGCAAGCCCTTTGTGCCATTGGAACTCGGCTTACCAGTACCCACAGACTGCTCTCCCAGACCCTGGACATCGCTTTCAGGGTTGCCATGAAACATCATCTCAAAAGAGGCCGGATGCGTGGGCCTTTTTGTGATTCCTGAAGTAAAACAAATATTGAAGACTGTAAACCAGTAATTATTATAATAATAATATAATGTAAACACAACATCGAAGTGTAGGAGTTCAACCTTTTTACAGAATCAATGACAAGACTCTACCACTGAAAAAAAATGGCACTGCCTGAATTTTTTTACAAACGGTTTTTGCAATGAAGCAACGGCATGCCAGAGGTCGCAGGTTCAAACCCTGCTCCAGTCAATTTCTTTGTTCAACCTTAAAATAATTCTATTGCACCTAGTCAGGTTCCCTATGTGGTTTCTTTGAAACTGATGTAATGAAAAGCTGTATCCTCTCCGATTGATGATCCCTAGCTGTTTGCTATTTTCCAGGTTTGCAACACAATTGCTAATGTTACTAGCATCGTGACATTGGGCATGATCTCTAGCTACATTGCATCTATGGGTTTATGGCTTCTGACTGGCAGCCCTTGAACAAAGAAACTGAAAAAAATGGGGACCACCAACAAAGGGCTGGATAGCTCAGTTGGTTGAGCACCGGAATGACAATCCAGAGGTCTCAGGTTCAAACCCCGCTCCATCAATTTCTAAGTTCAATCTTAAAATAAATTATCTTTATACTTAGAATGGAGACCCCAACCTTTGGTTTTCCTTCTTTTTTTCTTGTTAGTTTTGATACAAAATGACTCACCAGGAGGAAACTTTGAAAGCCTTGTGTTTTCATGCGTCATCTCATTGCTTTTAACCCAGACAGGAGCACTATCAGCTGGAGAGGACATCTGCAGGCCTTGAAAACTAATTGCAAACGATGAAGGAATATATTAGTTCACAATTTAATGTAAAAAAAAAAATTGAAATGTCATCTGTTGATTGTGATTTTACAATCACAATTCAAACTTTGGATTGTGTTTTTTACAATCACAATTCACAATTAAATTGAAACTGTCAGCCAAAGAAAACAAAAATGCACTTACTTTTATTAATTTAGGTTTTAGTGGGAGATGGTAAGCATTGCGTCTGTTATTTGATATTTTTTGTCAAAATTAACATTTTCTGCCGTTTATACAATTACAGTGTTAAAACATTTATAGAGGAAGCTACATTCACAGTTTCAGGTCAATAACGCATATTAACCCTGTCATCTTGAAACCAAATTGGTAAATATGTAACTCACTTGTCCTGGATGGCCTCATCTTTGGGCTGTTGGTTCTCCTGCCCGTTAAGAGCGGCCCCTTCTGCCTCTTTATTGGGCTGGCTCTCATCCAAGATCTGACACACCAGCTCATCAAACAAACCTGATCTGTCGAGCAAACTGTCCATGGGAGGCTCCCCGAGGTCCCCATGGTAATCAGTCTGCACTCGGCCGTTGCCTTGGTGGATGCCATGTGCTTGCTGCTGCTGGATCCAATAATGGCCCTGACTCTCCTGGCCCTGTTCCTAGAAATACAAATGATGCATGGGTGATGGAAAGTAGATTCATCACAAAACTGGGCCTTTGGCACGAAAATGACCTAAAGAGATATTCAGCGTAACTGGGCTAACATTAACATGGTGTACGTGTGAAACTAAAACAAAATGACAAAAGCAAAGGAACGAAAGTTAAACACTTGATCGCAAACTGAATAGGGCCGAAGCCCTATTCAAAATTAAGTTTAGGCCCAGCCTACAGGGTCGGGGATGTGGTTGGGGAAGGGAAGTGGTTAGGCCTAGGCCCCGGATTCTGGGGGCTAAGGGCCCAACGTTATATCTGAATTTATTTTACCTTAGGCCTATTTCCACCTCTGTATTTCCATCCAATTTACTAGCCTACAGTCATACTCATAGGGCCTAGAATTAGGCCTACTCTTTTCTGGTAGCCCAATATATATTTTTTTTAAGTTAATAGGCCTAGGCCTATTTTACATTTTATAAATTATAGTCCTAGGCCTTCATTTGCAATGTCTTTTCTTTAATATTAATGCAAACTAAATTTGTAAGACGGTGAACAGGCTCATCAGCCCCTAGCAAAACTAAAAGTTCTAACCAAAGTCAAGACAAGTCAGGCCAATCCGAAGCAAAGGTAGGTTAGGCCAATAGTTAATAATCGATTGTTCCCCCTCCACTGCCCCCCCCCCCCCCAAGACGTGGGGATTGTCTTTTTTGAAGTGACAAAATCCCCACCCCTTGGCCTTGGGCAAAATTTAAGAAATTAAGTGACAATCTCTGACATAGGCCTAGGCCTACCCATGTGGGCCGCACTAGTGTTGGCTAACAACATGAACAATGACAAAAGTCATTGACAAAAAATGACAAAAGAAAATGTCAATGTTTTTGAGTGACCAGAATCCTCACTCGCCTGTCCCTGCATGCCCTGACATGCCTGAGGCTAGAGCCTAGCCCAGGTTGGACGACGTCTTCATTGCAATACCCACATTGCATTACGACGGAGTCCAACCTAGGCTAGCCTGCCGAGGCATTGAAAAACGTGACCAAACATTGCAAAAACCCCGGCATCGGACCTTCACTTGGGCAGCGCGGGGCCGGGGAGAGGTGTGGAAACATTTCATGGGCACAAACTTACTTAATCACGTTAATATTTAATAGGGCCTAAGCATGATAATTTAGTTCCCTAAAACCACCACGAACGTAAGCAGTAAGGGCAGCATTACGTTAGGCCTACGTGTTTCTAGCTCGCACCCACTGAGACTGACTCGTCTCACTCATGTCACTCAGTCTCAGCTGCTCAGTGCGAGTCTCAAACCTTTCAATTTCTGGGACTTTGGTAGTCTCTACTTCATAAAAACAACAATACAAACTTTCTCAAGTTTCACTACGTGTAGATTATAACTCTATCGAATCACTTACCATTACTTTAATTGTTTGAATGGCGTTCCAATGGCTTCAAAAACATAAAATTAGGGAACAAAAAAGGCCCACTAAAATAATTGTCAGCTGCGAATCTTGACGCGCTACGCCCATTTCGGCCAAATGCGCACGCGCAAGCTGTTCAATTTGGTTTTTCATATAGTGTGTGACGAGAGATAAAATGTAACAGTTTATGTCAGATTACGTATTTAAGTAAAAAGAACTTTGTAAAATTACAACATTTGAAAAATACAGTTTAGTTCTATTTTGTCGTAGCTGATGCTCTGTACTTAAATGTAAAACAAAATCTCTAAAAGTTTAGCATTCCTGGGGAGTAGGTGTGAATGTTTGAAGTGACAAAAACAAAGACAAGCTTTGCCGTTAACGGTTACTCTCCACTACAATTGGCATAACAATTAACGCCAAAATGAGGCGTTACGACGATCAAAATTGTGTCGAAATATACGAGCTGATTTCAAAATACTATTCTCCAATGATGTTAAAGTACATAAGTCCTGAAGTATTTGCCAAAAAAACCACGATTATTTGTTTTTGTCTTGATCGATCTCTTTATCAGAGGGAGTAGGTGAGGAGAAATCAAGCAACCTAAATAGAGACGACTTTTGTTCGCGCCATCCCGTGTTGTGATTGGTCAACAGTTTTGCTAGCCTTCGTAACAGCCGTCGAATTTCCCAATCCACGGCTCGGCACTGTACCACCGCATGATGGCGCTAACACGGATAAACAGCGTCGTGCGCCTTCTCAAAATGAGGAGCTGATATGAGTGGTTTCTCATAGTTACACATAATAATAGGCCCAAATTCTCTTCGCAATTTAAGAATGAGTAAAAGGGACGTAGAAGGGGTCGGAAATCTGAATCCCCTTTTTTAGCGGAAGTAGAAAGAAACCGAATGCTGCGAGGCATATTTCCCTTAATTTGGGGACAACTAAAACTATAATTCTTGCAAATTAAATATTTGGATGTCATATCCAAATACACAGTGGAAACTTTAAAGAGATTTTCATATCTAATATGGTTTGGAGGGAAGCGGATAAACAAACCTATTTGACCCATTCTAGGAGCAAAACACTTTCCTTGTAAGATCCGCATAATTCTGATCCTACCCCATAGCTATGCTGCCCGCAGTGTTGCCACACAAGTATACATGCTGGCTGCTCTGACTATGAAGTATTATATGAATATCTCCCCGACATAGAGTAAGGAAAACATTTATCACTTGTCATAAAAGAATGACCAGATAATAATATGACAAACAGACCCTATAGTCACTTTTTTTCAGTTAAATACCTTTTGTACTTTATTCAACTTTGCATGGACTGGTCACCTTCACCAGTCTGTTTAAATTTTCCCGGTTCCACTGTACACCCCTATGGCATACATGTGTGAGGTGTGAGTGGGTGTCCTAGTTATACAATTCATGGTAATTATGGCTCTTACATTTTTACCTTTTCAGAAAAAAACCAACACTGTTTGCACACCAAGCAGAAAGTAATGCTGAAACGTTTTCCTCACAAAAGCCAAAATGTGCAGAGACAAGTGAGATAGATAAAAAGTGAACAAAAACCCTTTGTACACTGCGTCTCACAACTGAAATAATGTTTATCAAATGTTCATATTAACAGGACAAAAATGCTAAATTGCATTAGATGCGGAGTTTCAAATGAGATTTTATCTCTAGTTTTTCTTAAATCTTAAGTCTCTTGTGTGGCACATAATCAGTGGCAATACCTTTTTGTGTGATCTAATTACCATTGAAATCAAAGGTTGGTAAAAGTGCATCCTAGTTTCAAACGTTTACTACTAAGTTATCCTGCATGTCAATGTCCATCACAGGTTAACTAGTACACAAATAAGCACACTGACCCGGAAAGACGGGCAACCAGTGAGCTACTGTACCTTATATCATGAAAAAAGATACTAGGAACTAGACGTCTTATCTATCAATCACTGATTGGAATTCACTAGTCTTTCTTTCAAGTCGCTCATCATTTTTTCTTGGTTGCTTTGCCCTTCTTGCCCTTCTTTGGCTGTGGCTTGCAGTACTTAGCCTCCAATCCAGCCATGAAATTGTCCATCTGTTGTCCTCGAGACTGCTGCCGTTGTTTGATCATGGCCATTAAGGCGTCGTCGCCGTTTTCCTTTCCGAGACCGAGTTCCTTGGAGAGGTGTTCTGCCTCTTCTGCCTCCTGTTTTGCCTGTGGGTTCACAACGAGGGGAATGCATTTAGGAAGTCATTCATCATCTTGAGCTGGAGGACAAACTCCAGATATTTTTTTCTGCTGTTGCCCAGAAGTGGTGTCTAACAGCAACTGTTGAAATTATGTGGTAACCAAGTCATATGAATGAGACATTTAGACCACTGACAAATTTACATAAAACAAGGTCATCAAAAAAATTGAGATACTGTCTCCCAGTGACAGGCATAGGTCCAGTGACCACAGCATGAATTAAATACCAAGTCACATTTTTGATGGCAAAAGTATTTCGTAAAAAAAGTGTGCCATGGTCTGAACAAGTACTTACTGCACTGACTGAAGGAGTAACAACTGACCTTTTTCCTTCGGCCTGATTTCTGTTTCTTGCTCTCCTTTGTGAAGGCCTCGTACTCCGGCAGTTCTCCTTTGTTGATCAGATCGGTGAGGATTTCGGCAAACCGGGACTCGTCTTCGTGGGTGCAGCACAGGACGTTCTCTAGGATTTGCTCCATGTCTCCTTCGTACTCCAAATACGATGCCTTCAGATCCTCCAGCTCTTCACTGGAACCTACCATGAACAGACAACGAGCAATCCAAGACAAAAAAAATTGCCGTTACCGGTGGACAAAAAATGGGAAATGCCTTTATGGGTCATGGGAAATGCCTTTATGAGTTTGAAGGCAATGCCAATTCACACTAGACGGAAGGCTTGTTGAAGGAGCATGATTGAAGTCGTTTTGTTTTTTATTCAGAAAATGATGGTTTTCATTAATGAGACATTTGAATGCATTTTTATTTTGTGGTCCTGGGCGTAAACAATATGGACCATTAGAAACGATACACATACGGACATGTATGTGGCTTGGAAACAAAATGGTAGCATGAAGTGCAGTTAATGCGTAACAAAATGAACTTTGACCTTGATTTACTGAAATAAGTACGTTTCAAAGTGCATAATTTTTGTTCAGATGTTACTTTATGATGGTGGGTGCTCCTGAATTTTTTAAATTATGAATTTTAAAGATAGCATGTCCATCCAACAATCAAACATCCATCAAACGTACTAATTTACATTATGTCTGAGAGGGTATAGATAATTAGTCCATTACTGCGTGTAATTTTTCTTTCAACTTACCTTGATACTTTGTTTCAAACTCTCGGATGTCATTGACAGAAACCTTCTTAAAAAGAATCCGCCAGTAGTCAGCCCAGTCCTTGCACTGTTCAGTATCAATTTCATCGTCCACTTCCCCTGTTATTATACATATGAAATTATCTGTAAATTTAATATATAGTCTATGAAGTTGGAATGATTTACAATTACTTGGTATTTTTTTTAACTCATGGTTTCAGTCTCATGAAGCAATAGCCTGTCAGAAATGTCTGGTTCCTGACAGTTTCATCATATGAAAGGAGTGTGGGTCATTGGTTGATTTGAGACACATGATCTAAAGTGTCCCATTTTCAAATCCAGCTACTGGCTCAACATTGCGTCCTTGGGCAAGCCACTTTACATGTACTTGCGTCACTCCACGGACAAGTATAAATGGATACTGGTAACAACTAGGAGTAACCTGTGATGGACTGATGTCCCAACGAGGGAGAACAGAAACAATTTCATTTGCTTCATGCCATGGAAACCAGAGATAACTGATCCGCTGAGACGTTCGACTTGAGATGGACCTTGCAGTATAAAGACAGAGTTTGATTTCTTACCCGTTTCATCATATAGCGCTCTGAGATTTGTATCACTCAGTACGCGGTAGATTCTGCCAAGAGCCTGGAACTTTTGGGTTGCTTCTTCCTTGGCATCGCTGCTGACTCGATCTGGATGGACTTTCAGAGACAGTTTGTAGTATCCTCGCTTTACTGGGGGAAAAAACATATTTCACCAAAAGATCTGTCAAAATGAAGTAACCTTAGATGTCTTCTTGTGAAAGTGTTAAGTAAAAGGAGTCTACTTCTAGAATTAGAAGGCACCCGTGTGCCTTCTAGCACTATCATTTTTTTTGGTGGTCGTAACCCTATGGGATCGGCATTGGAGCCATATAGGCGAATTACTCGCGGTTCGCATCAAGTGTGTGCAACGAAAAACTGACGGTGGCGAGTAAAAACTCTCATTTCTCAAAAAAATTTCGGTCCGATGGTCCAAAAACCATTGTTCCCAAATTTGAAAGAGTTATGGATCAGCCTGGGCAACCTTTTGGGGTGATTTTTGGTTAAGAAAGTGGAATTCTAAATGCAAGTAATTCGTCTATCAAAGCTCCAATGCCAATTCCACAGTCAGACCACCATCCAAAAAATGATAGTGAGAAGTAGAAGGAGCCATGCCAGCAGTGTTATAGTCAAGTATAGCTCCGCGATAGAAAGTAGGAAGTGTATATTTAGCCGGCTAGATTTAGCTGGCTTTCTTTTCAGAATTATATTACATAATACTAGTTATGGCGGAAAAAAATGTTGCAACCTGACGCCATTTCAGTGGTTGTTTACAAAGTCTATGGAGAGTCAAGAAAGTATTTCGTAAACAAAATTGGAAATGTTTCTCAGTCCCAGATTCATGTCTTATCATCATTTTAGCAATGACTGACCTTCATTGAGATGATAAATGAAGAAAAAAGTGGCGTCAGTATGCAACATTTTTTTCCGTTACGGCAGCCGTAACGTGATTTTCAACTGCTCGTTACGGAAATGTCTGGTTCCTTAACGTAATATTAAGAATAAGATTCAATATTCAGGATTTTTGGCAGCAGGAACCAGACTTTTAACCTACTGCCGGTACTGGTTCTCGGATTTTTTATTTCCCTTTCAATTTTAGTTTTAAACCCGGTACCTTCCGCATTGAACGGGGTCCTAAAGTGACGAAGCTTTGCACAAACTGCAATGCTTAATGCTTGTTTGTCATGCAACGTGATTATGAACACTGCTGCGCTGGTGAACAAAATGATTGATAGACTACGTAACGTCGGGAGGTAAGGGAGTCCACCTGGGCTAATTGATAGACCTACTTTAATTATCCTCGACTCGAGGCTCGACCCTCCATAATCTGCGCAGGTAACGCTTGCAACGCGCGCGCAACGTAAGTGCGTAGAAATAGAACCGCGTAGCTTTAGGGGGTCTGACGTACCTTCATTTGCAGAAGCTTCCTTTATGATACCTAAAATTTCATAAAGATCTTGTGTTCCGAACAACTCTACACAACTCTCGAGTAAGGCGGGCATTTTCGAAGTTTGGACGAACAACTTCTAATCTTCAAAATAAAAACACGGTGACATCGACAAGCAGACAAGTGACAGAAAATCACACAGCTTCGTGTGGCGCGCCACCAAAATCGAGTGGCGCGCTTAACGGAATGTTCCATTATACCTGTGGTGATTATTTCAAACCGATCAAACTAGAATGGAATCGCATGTTTTCTTGACGAAATCGTATTCTCATAAATATGGACGAAAATTGCATACATAACTTATTTTGAATGAATGCTTGTTATTTATGGGTTTTTTTAAAGATAACTTTTAAGTGTAAACGTTAAAAGTACTTTCAAATAGCCCTATAAAATAATGGACGCTCTTTCGTTTTACCTTTAAACTTTTATTTTTTTAGTATGGTCACGCACGGGAGATCGTGTTATTATGAATACGTGAAGAGCAGGGCTCCTGACTTCTTGATTTGTGCGTGTATTACGTGGAAATCACAAAATGCGCTGGTCTGATAATTCTTAATTATTGATGATATTTGAAACAAGAACACAGACCACACAAGTATCCCGGTAAGACACCAAAGGGTTCTTATTCCTCCATGGTTAATGTTAATACCACAGTAAACAGTACCTTTATCACGTTTACAGCATGGAGGTAGAATCATGTTTTTATCATGTGACCATGATGAAGAAGGTGGAGCTAAGCATTTAAGATGGGGGGGGGGGGGAGTGGCAGGGGGGGGGGGGCTCGGGCCCTGAATCCTAGGGGTTGTGTTAATTACTTATAGAACTAGAAGTAGGTGGTAGACGGAGTAACTTGGGCCCTACTTATCGCCTTTTTTAACATTTGGACAAATGTATTGCCTCAGGCTCTTTGACATTTGGACAAAAAAATGTTAAAAAGGTGATACTTCAAATAAAGCAATAATTACATTGTTGTATGATCTGACACTACTTTTTCACATGGTCAGAAGTTGCAGATAAGATTACAAAAACAAAAACAGGAATTTGTAGCTGAAAAATGTGTGATCTATTAGTATTACTTTGAGCATTTTTACGACTCCACGTATAGACCTTTTCGTCATCACTTAGGTGGCATCCTACTACATTCTTTCCCATGAGACTGCCTGATTATCAAAAATGATATTTATTTATTTTAAATCTTATAATATTTTTTTTAGGTGTCTTTTTTTTCTGGGCAAAATAGCGGAGTTGCGATGATACGTAAAGAAAAGTACGGAGCATACACTGAGAATTACCTACATCAATTTGCGGGACCCAAGCTCAGTTGTGAAGCATACAGGTTCAATTTTAATCTTATAATCCATCATGTAAATTGATCAAGATAAATGATCCTTAAATTTGAGCGCATGAATTATGTTAAATATTAACTTGCTGTGATCTGCACACATACATGCTTGGCTGGGTGTGTCAGATGATGATGCGTTTGTGATGCTCTGAAAATCCGTTGTACAAGATTTGGACCGGGGATTAATTAATTTTTGCGCACTGTCCAGGGTTATTATTGTAAGTTTTTTCTTTTGTACTTGTTTCATTACATGTAGATATTATGATTTGGGAGATGACTATTGAGTTTTGTGAATTTAATTACTATGGAGGAGTTGCATTGTCACTAGTCATTGTCAGGGTTCTGTTTGCATTATATTATATCACGAGGGGTCCATATTGTACAAAGGATGGATGCTTTATGCTAGATTAATGGCATTTGGAAGCATTTTTAAGACAATAAGAAATTATGACCTTTCAATTTCTCTGTGGAGGGCATCAAGGCAACGAAAGTCAACATTGCTACATTGACTGTCCTGGATACCCCCATCTCTGTGGTCAGGTTGTAATATCAGGGGGCATTTGATTAAAATACATCCCATCGTGCGTTTGTATCCTGTGCATGATGGGCCGTAATTTCAATGGAGTGCCCCCTGAAATTGCATTGTGAACACAAAGATAGTGGAATATTATGAGTCCAGGAATAGGGTTGGACTACAGTGACAATTTTTTTTGGGTGATACCGAACAAAACCGAATGATATTGTCAAAGTACCAACATTGAACCTTGCATTGGAATTTCATCACCTCTTAAATGAGGCCAATTGTGTACAAAAGCCCCCCCCCCCCCAAAAAAAAAAACGTGACAGAATTTCAGAAATAACTTGCACAGAAAAAGAACTGAACTATATAAATTTGTTTAAAGTACTTGTGGTCACAGTAACCAGGTGAGAAGTTCACTTACTCAGTTACCGTAGTTACCGAGCAGGGCCTTTGAAGTTCTGACCATGCTGCCTATGTGTTTGCATTTCCAAAAACTGCATGTCATATTGTATTTTGATGATAGTCTGACCAGAAATGTAGGCGCCTACCCGATAATACTGAAAACTGCGATATTTTTGCGACGGTAAAATCTAATACTGCACAAACCTATGCATGAAATCGCCTATGGCCAAACTATGGATCAAACTACAAACAACAACGCATTTACATGTATACACAGCCATACAAATGACTGCTATAATGTGGTGAAGTGTTTTGTACCCAATGCTAAAGAGTGTTTAAAAAAATAAATTCCAAGTTCCACATCACAGCAGTCGATCAAGATAATTATGTTTTATGTCTTGTACTTTTTGTTTCTTCAGATATGAGTTACAACAGTATGTCAGAGGGGGACGCAGAGTTTGGAGGGAATGACTTTGAGTTTGCGGACAAGGACATCAGACATGGTCAGTTATACATGGTTCAGACTGGCGTGTCTTCAGGGCCCGGGTCGAACAAACTATCTCAAAGATTTTAATTGAGTGGTGGATTTTTTGCTTAAAGATATAGTCCATCATTTGTAATTTGTGCATTTTGCTCGTTTGAAGCAACAAAAGTGCTCAAAATCTAAAGAATGGTACTGAACAACTAACCTGATGAAGTTTCAGCTTAGCTTCAGCTGTATATTCCGAGAAAAACAGCATTTTAGGATCTCAATTTCAAATCAAAAGTTGCTGAATCATGTTTTGAATTGGGCCTGAATTCAGCGTCCGAGACACGTTCTCACTGAGCCGATTGCAGCTATGCGATGTCGCGCACTGATCCGACGAATTATAGCAACTGCGTGTGCGTCGCGCCAATGCTTGCGCGCGCTTTGCCGAATAACAAAACCAACTACTAATTTAAATTTCCTATGGTGCGTCTTAAGAAGCACCGTTGGAAAGGCCTTCTTTCGTTGATTACCTCAAAATGACAGCTTGCCAGAAAGAATAATTTCACAGGGAGTTTAGTCCCCGTACTATCTTTCAACAAAGTATGTTTTTCAACAATAATTACGCCAGTTACTTTTCGGATAGCTGCAAATGATGGACTATAGCTTTAATTTATATTGTTTTTACCAGTGTATGTTTCCTAGCCACTTATTTTCTGAACAGAAAAAAGACTGTCTACCATATTCAACACATTTCTATTTTTCTTGCCATAGGATTTATCCGCAAGGTGTACGGAATTCTCACGGCACAGTTGGTGGTTACCATAGGGATTATAATCCCGTTCGTCTATGTGTAAGTTTTGCATTTGGTACTCTTTGCTTATATTCAATTACCTTTTTCATCAGCCAAAAACATTGCACGCTGACGTTCTACAGTTAAAATTAATTTGCTCTTTAAGCAGATCGAGATAACTGTTTCTGCATTTAGATTACAATCTATCTTTGGGGAGTAGTAAATCAATTGAATCTGAACGCTTCAAAATAGCACGGAGCTCTGTTTGAGACCATGTACTTAACAGATTACTACATAAATTTTACTCTGGTTTTTGCAAAACGTCAACTCAGTTGTTTTCTTATTTTCCACATTGGTCCTGTATCTGAATAGATTGTTCTGACTTAAGTGCAGTTGCTTTACAAGCGAAGTATCTACAAGACCTAAATATCTGTTCCCAAGAGAATGGGCAAAGAACAGTTGTGTTCCTTTCAACTACTTATTGTCAGCTTTTTTAAATGCATACTTATCTGTATTTTGTCTCCATCTTTTTGTCAGTGACTCTGTGAAAGATTACACGCGAGTGAACTCATGGCCCTTCTGGACTGCATTGTAAGTGCACATTGAGAGATGAACCATGATACAATATAGCCCTAGCCAGATCCTTCAATTCTAAACCCACACAGAGGTTTTGAGGAGATTTGGCAGGTTTTAGAAGGGTAGATGCCAATCATTCTGTGGCAGTATAAGTTACAAACAAAAAAGTTCTTGGACTTGGAGAAAAAAAAATGGAGTAAAAATGTGGGTTACCATTAAAAGTGTGCAACTTGATGAATCTTTGTGATAATCGTGGTCTTAACAATGGGTTTGATTTCAATATCAGTGGTATAGGAAGTGCGATATCGATCTCAAACCAACTTATAATGTTTGCAGGGGAACAAGTGAATGACAAAATCAATTCTGAGATTATCGTAATGAGTTGTAAATTCACGGATAGAAATTCAGTCAATATGTACAGCTACATCAGAACTGTGAGGTTTACTTTAGTGCCTGAACACAGCATTAAACAAAAAACTTATTGATTTCAGATGAGAGCAGCATTTTAATAATTCTTTGTGGTTTTCACCCATAGCGTCATGACTTTGGTTCTGATCATCGCGTTGTCGTGCTTCTCCAACCTACGCAGGTCTTTCCCGATCAACTTTATCGCCCTCTTCTTGTTTGTAAGTCAGTAGTCCTTATACAAATAAGCTTTTTTAGAACTACATGTGCATGGAAAGTTTGAGTGTCTTCAAATCACCCATAAGGGAAACTGGCAACCTGAATGTAGTGTTTTTAGGGTCGAAAAGAAATATTGAGTCTGTTGGAACATGGGCTTGACTCCACTTGACAGTTTTACCCATGCCCCAACTCTCAACTGTTCAGGCAAAACTAACTCGAGATTTGAAATGTAATCCAATGGTCAAGATTCAAATTCTGATCTTGTAATTACTTTATTCTGAAAAAAAAGTGAAATAGGGTGTAGGATTTTTTTAATGCAAATGCAGTCCTAGACCTATTTATCTGGCAGCTTATAAATGAAGAATTCTTTCCCTTTTTAAGGACTAGAGTTTTTGACAGATTTGGGAGTAGTGAAATGTTTCGAAGTAATGTGAAAAAATGTTGTTCAGTTTAAAAAAAAGTTTTGAGCAAGCTACATTTTTAACATGGCTAAAACGCTTTAGAAGTGCCCCCAGTTATGCAGGTGTAGTTGGAGGGCAGCCATGTTGAAGAGATGTAACATGCATCGTCCATGTTCTACATTAATTTTGTTTGTTGTGTCGTATTTGACAGACCATTTTTGAGGGTGTTCTTCTTGGTCTGGTCTGCAGCTCATATGATACCAACACTGTGCTCATTGCGGCGGGCATCACTGGAGTAAGTTATTGACAAACACATAGACTCATGAAGGTCAAATGAGTGACAGGAGTTCCCCTAATATAACCTCCTCCCCCTCCCCCCCCCCCCCCCCAAACAGAATGATCCGATAGGCCTGCCCCATGGTTTGTGACCAATCACAGCCATGATTATGGCAGGGGAAGAGGATTGATTGTTTGACTGTCTGCGACTGTTAAAATAGCAGGAGGGTTAATTCAATGGGGAACAAAGCACAGTGATTTGTCAACACAGGCCAGAGTAGCATGGGTGTGGTATCGGAAGGTGTGTGGTATGTAGGAATTCCCAGATATAAATACAGTGAAATCTTGATAAGTCAAACCTCAAGGGAACAGGTTCAAAATTTGACTGAAGCAGATTTTTGAGTTAAGCAGGGTTGTATATCATTGTTATACTACTGAAGTGAATGGATTCTTTGTTTGACTTTATAATAACAGTTGTTTTTAGTTATCAAAGTTTTACTTATCGAGATTTCACTGACCAAAATGTTCGTCAAATTGCCAAGTATATAATCTACTTTTTGTGTGTTTTTGTTGCTTTTTCACAGGTTTTAGTGCTGGCATTGACAATCTTTGCATTTCAAACAAGGGTAAGATTTTTTTTTATATCTATAATGAAAAGTAAATGAATATTTGGTCAAGTGCAGTTTCGAGTAGTCCAATACAAAATTATGAAAAAATTGACAGCCCTATTAGGCCAAGAAAAAAAAATAGTCGGTCTCTGGTCAGACCGAAGTTCCGGAGTTGTTGCGGCGACGCGGTTTTTTTTTGGGTGGCTTTTTTTTTTTTTGAAGCTTGTATTGTACAGACAAGGTGCGTACTATTTTGCTTTTTTGTGTCCTCATTATACATTGGTGTCCTCCATAATTTGCTTTGGTGCCCTTTATCATTTGCCTTGGCGCAATTTCCCCATTCCTTGGTGCTCCTTGGTACAAAAATTTGAGGAGACGCAGCAATAGAGGGCGCTGTTGGAGCTTCCGTGTTAATTTGAAGAACAAAAAAAGGTTGACGCGCATGATTAAAATCGACGCGCGCGCTGACCAGAGACCGACTATTTTTTTTTTTTTGGCCTTAAAGAGTTATGATACAGTGATTAAACATTTTTGTTAATTAGATTTTTGTAATCGCCATGTTTATCACAGATTGATTTCACCATGATGTCTGGATTGCTCTTTGTGGCCTTGATTGGACTTCTGCTCTTTGGAATATTTGCCGCCATTTTCCACAGCAGAGTGAGTAAAACATAAGAAGTTGCTTGTTTTCACAAAATTGAATGTGTTCAATAAGAACCCTTGCAAATTTCAAAAGCCTGGCATGGCACTTCTCAGACTGTTCATGTTTAAGCTGATTGTGTTTTGCTGAAATGTATTTAAAAGTGCACTTAAACAAGCTTTATTCAATTGTACAACTCTTTTTAATTCTTGAAGTTTTCATTTTTTGTATCAAATTTGTACCGAATCTACAAATTTCATTAGATGCATATATATGCATCAGTGACAATTTTTCTTAAATTGGTCAAAAATTCAGATAGTTTGAGATTAATTTACTAAGTCATGATATTCTGTATTCTTGTTTTTATAGGTACTGGATATTGTCTACGCTTCAATTGGAGCTATAATCTTTGGTCTGGTAAGACAGTTTTCTTGACGAAAAATAGAGTAAAAACATTCAAGCTTTTGAGACAGACCCCTCCCCCTAAGAATGACGTTTGTCTTCTAATCCTCACATTTTTACCATTCATTTTACCAAGTGTGATGGTTTTCGCGGATTCTGAAATTGAAGCCTTTGCATTCTTGTGGAATGTCATTTATAAGATTTTGTGGTAAAAGAAATTTGTTTAAAAATTGGTTTGTATCGTTTAGGATTCTGTTCTTCACTAGAGCACTGATAAAGGGATCCTCAGGCTAGACTGTTCTATGTTTTGTAAACGTGTAATAATATGCAAAACACAAAGTAAGCAAAAGTGTACACAGCACTCTTTGTATATATGAGAACAGATTATGAAAAATATTTGAAATATTTTTCGAAACTTTATTTCTAGATGTTTTTATTTCTCTTCTCAGTACATCGTCTTTGACACCCAATTGATTCTGGGAGGCAAGCACAAGTACAGCATCTCGCAGGAGGAATACATCTTTGCTGCCCTCAACCTTTACGTCGATATCGTCCAGATGTTCATGATGATGCTGATGCTTGTCGGTCGAGCCCGATAGACAAGACATTAAGGGGAGGGGTGATAAGGGGAGGGACTATAAAGGGAGTTGCTATATGGGGGAGGAGCCATAACGGGGAGGGCCTATAAGTTGCAGCCCAATAGAGAAGACATTAAGGGGAGGGGTGATAAGGGGAGGGACTATAAAGGGAGTGGCTACAAGGGGGAGGAGCCATAAGGAGGAGGGCCTATAAGTTGCAGCCCGATAGGCAAGACATTAAGGGGAGGGGTGATAAGGGGAGGGGCTATAAAGGGAGTTGCTATAAGGGGGGGGGAGCCATAAGGAGGAGGGCCTATAAGTTGCAGCCCAATAGAGAAGACATTTAGGGGAGGAGTGACAAGGGGAGGGACTATAAAGGGAGTGGCTACTAGGGGGAGGAGCCATAAAGGGGTGGGCCTATAAGTTGCATCCCGATAGAGAAGACATTATGGGGAGGGGTGATGAGGGGAGGGACTATAAAGGGAGTGGCTACAAGGGGGAGGAGCCATAAGGAGGAGGGCCTATAAGTTGCAGCCCGATAGGCAAGACATTAAGGGGAGGGGTGATAAGGGGAGGGGCTATAAAGGGAGTTGCTATAAGGGGGGGGGGGAGCCATAAGGAGGAGGGCCTATAAGTTGCAGCCCAATAGAGAAGACATTTAGGGGAGGAGTGACAAGGGGAGGGACTATAAAGGGAGTGGCTACTAGGGGGAGGAGCCATAAAGGGGTGGGCCTATAAGTTGCATCCCGATAGAGAAGACATTATGGGGAGGGGTGATGAGGGGAGGGACTATAAAGGGAGTGGCTATAAGGGGGAGGAGCCATAAAGGGGCGGGCCTATAAGTTGCAGTAAAAGGGACTGTAAAAGGGAAGGAGCCATTAGGGGGGGGCTGTAACGGAATAGGACGGGCTTGAAGACTTTTTTTGGCTTTATATCATTTTTTAGTGTACATGCTTGTGCGTAATATGCCTTTTAAATAGCTTTGGTTCTTGGTACCGTATTATATAAATAGCATGCCAAGCTTAATTGTATCCATGGCAACTAAAGTTTGCACTTCATATTGACGACTTGACTTGTGAATATCCGTCCCACAACATACAAACTTGAAAAAAAGAGAACATTTAGGCTTTTGCTCAAAATTACATTTGAAATTCAATTCATTTTGCAGTCGCCTTGAAAACAACTATTTTTGTTTCGATGAAAAAAAGTATTTAAGCTCAGCTCGACATGTACAGGTTGAGGATGAGAAGTTTAATATATAAACCTGAAATGAAATTGAAATTAAAAAGGTATATTTGTAATAATTATATGTATGTGTGGAAAATTTATAGCACCAAAATGTGCTTTATTGGAAATGTGCTTTGTTGAAAATCATTATGAATTATTTGTGAGATTGTGATTTTTCATTAATGTTTTCTGCAGACAACTCATATTATTGATTGATGATTCAGCTATTTATTGATTATGATTTTTTTTTTCAAAGGTATATTAGGCAGACATATTAATGTTGGATTTTTATACGCTTTAGAAGGTTGCAATGTTTAATTATTGGCTATTATTAATTATCGGTTTACACATGGTTTAATATTAAGAGAGATTGTTTAGCAGTCCAATTTACAGGAGGTGGTTTTGGGCTTTTATTGTGAGGTGTTTTTGTTTTTTGTGTATATCAAATCAGTTGAGGAATTCTCGACCTTAAAATAATTCTGATGTTAGCTACCATATTACCAAAGAAATATTCTCAGAACTTAAAAAGAAACAAATATCTTTGCTCTGATGTTGAAATTTGCGCTTTCTGGAGAATTTGTTTTCATTTGTACGCAACATCAACTGAATTAAAGCATTGATATATAAATATCCATGATGTGTACACTGAAGTTTGTCAGATTTGCCTCATTTTGCAACTTTTCTTTTTCTTTGAAGTCAGTTGATGATACTCGGTCCATCCTCTGGTTTTATAAGCAACCTTGTTTGTTGGGGACGGGGAAAAAAACAACTTATTTTGTCAGTTTGAAGAAAATTTTTGTCAGAAATGCATCATCAGTGGCCTGATTTTTTTCAGTTAAGACAGACAATTAGGAGACCTGCAGCAGCCAATTTCACTTATGCCATAAGGACGGAGTTGGGCGATAAATTGTGTATACACTGAGTTAATACACCATTAGCTAAATTTGAGAACATGATACGTCAGCTGTGCCGTGTTTTCACCACATTAATATTGTTTCTAGATGAGATTTAAAGGGAATGTACATTTGCTTTTGCTGCAATTTTCAGAAATAATGGATTTGGAAGACTTGTTTATTATAGAAAATATTGTTAATACGCCATTAGCTAAATTTGAGAACATGATATGTCGGCTGTGCCGTGTTTTCACCACATTAATATTTTTTCTAGATAAGATTTAAAGGGAATGTACAACATTTGCTTTTGCTGCAATTTTCAGAAATAAATGGATTTGGAAGACTTGTTTATTATAGAAAACATTGTTAAACTGACTTGTTTCACATTTTGGGCTCGTGTATGCTGGAAAAACCTCTAACAAATCTATAGATATCAAGCCAGTTTACAGACATGGACAAAACTGTTCATATTCATAATGTTTATTACTTCACTGAGAATGATGCAGATAATTGATTAAAATGATCAATTGCACCCATCGTAATTAACATCTCAATCAAACATCACCCACATTTATACAAAAATATTCTCATTTGATGTAATTTATTACAATACTAACACTAACAGTGCATTTTAGTAAATCATTATTCAATAGTCTTATATGTACTGTCCAGTGGTTAATACCTGACAACGATCTTTGATCCCTGGCTAGTCTCAATTCAAGTCTGAATTTTATCGGCAGTAGCTACAACATTTAGTTATTATAAGATGGAATTTTGCGTCGGGGTGATATAAATCAATATTAGGTTTTGCCCTTCACCGACGTTTAAACGCTGTATACTCAGTGTTACCTCCCGAGTGAAAGTTGGAAAAAATCACTCGGGTGGGACTCGAACCCACAGAACTGCTGCTCTAGAAACGTCTGCACTAAAAACCGGAGATCGTGGGTTCGAGTCCCACCCAAGTGATCTTTTTCCAACTTTCACTCGGGAGGTAACACACTGAGTATACAGTGTTTAAACGTCGGTGAAGGGCAAAACCTAATTTGAACATTTAGTTACATACCTATAACTATTACAGTCTTTTACAAAAGCTCCATGTAAATAAATATTTTACAGATGACCATTTACCATCAGGAACTCGGGCTTGAGACAAGACTAGTACATTTATATGGAGAATATTATAATATTGCAATGAGGACAGGCTAATTGACCTATCGCGGTAGAATCGCGGTAGAATCGCGGTAGAATCGCGTCAACACAGCTTGTGAAATATTGTCCAATTACATGATATACAAATGGACGCGGAACGCGCAAAATCTGAGACAAACAAAGCTTAGTGTACAAAAATTCCATAGGGTTATCTAAGGGGCGTGGCTAATTCGCAAACGGCGATAGGTCAATTAGGCATTAGAGTATACATGTTGATCTGGGCTAGTTCACAAATAAATACCACACCTATTATTGTCTGGATGTATCTAACACACATTTGCCACACCCCAAAACCAAAACAGCGCACATAAAATACATAATCCTATAAAATATAAAACAGAATATAAATACTTGAAAGGTATAACTCTACCAAACAAATCGAGTACGCTTATTCGTCTTTAAAATACGTTGCAACTGATAAATTTAATGCGAGTATGGTATAAAGGAGTTACATACAGTAAGCCAAAGATCCAATTCTCCAACCGACTTTTACACTGATGTCTATGAACCCTGTCTCTAACACGGTAAACTTGTACATGTACTACACCTTGAAAAAAGAGTTGATTTATTTTTCTTTTCATTCAAAAAGCAAATTCAAGTTAAAAAAAATACAGAGCTATTTTTTTTTAATTAATTTTTTTGCACAATTGGACTAGGTGTACATGTACATACATGTACATGCAGTGTACACAAAACTATGTACAAAGGATACTTTTTAAAAATGATTTCTTACACCGGTATGGGGTTCGGATTAAAGGGCTTTTCAGTATAACATTTTTTAAATGCAATCCTTTGAAAAATGCACCTTTGTGTCCCATTCAAACTTCTTCATTATTTTTTTGCTTTGCCATTTCAAGGGTATTTTGGTACTTTTTTGGTGTTTATACTTATGCCATTTTCCATACTCATGACTATGAGCAAAAGTGTAGTCATTTCAGGCAGAAGCCTCAATGTTACAGCTATTGCAGCACCAATAGTTGCCAGAATTTTGGATATTTTCATACATTTATGAGGAGTAAATATTTAATTCATGGACCCTTTTAATGGATAGGGTTTGTTTAACAAAATTTGTTTGCAATGTTTTCCCTTGGCCTTTCTTGACCCGATTGCTCCAAGCATCTGTCAGTGAATTACTAACATACATATACATGTAATTCGATTAAATTTATGTTAATAACAATGACAACCAAGTAATTCAAAAGGCAAGTTTTCATGGAAAAAAAAATGAAAAGTTGCATGAAAGACTTGAAGACTGATAAAAATTTGGAAAAACCACACACATCAATTGGATAATTTTTGTCCCTCTAAGAATTTAAAAACTGACAATTGTTTTTACAATTTTAGGCCTTGATGTAAAACATCAGGACGATACCCGATACATCATGACGTTTCCACGCCACCCTGTTCCCGAATTTCAATGACGGCGTTTGCATAGCCGACGATAGCCTTGTCCATCCACGACACAGTGTTGGGTACCAGGAGACCCCCCTCGAAGAACCCAAGATGGCCGCCGTGTTTGGTCAGGCAGTAGAGGGCGTTGGGGGCGTGCTGCGCGTAGCGCACCGGCGTGTCATTGTGTCGGACGGGGATGATGTGATCGTCAGCCGCGTTGAGGAGCAACAATGGAATATGAATCTTGGGAAGGACAAAAAAAATGATAAAATGTACTTTGTCAATCATAACTCCAATGGCATTGTTGCTAGGAAACCTTCATCAATCCTCTAAAATCCTCCACTGTGCCCGAAACCAGTGGCAGGTTCTTTGTACTTCAACTTTCACAGGCATCAACTTCCTAATTCTTCAAAAATCCTTCAAAACCTAGTGGATTTTAAAGTATCTGTATATAAGGGTTACTCTAAGCAACTCTATCTCCATCAACACATTTTGCCAAGAAGGAACAAAGAAGCTGCATCCTCTTGCAACTGACACATTTATTTAAATTTTCAACCGAGGGAAACTGACTAGGTGTATTATAATAATTTTAAAGTCGAAAAAGGAACTTGACTTGAGCTGGGTTAGAACGGTATTCCAGAGGTCGCAGGTTCAAACCCCGCTCCAGTCAATTTCTTTGTTCAATTTTATGATTTATTTAATTTGACTTTGAAGGAATAAACCAACCTTGTCTATATGAGCTGAACTACTGCATTCTTTGTAGAAATCCTCACAGCTATTGCTGTGTATCATTTTGCTGCAAAAAAAATAATAAAATTAAGGAATCCTTAATAAGTATGTTGATTTTTTCCAAACGAGTGAAGAAAAAAAATTTGAGACCCTGCTGTTTTAAACTCCATGAACAAGTACCCCACATGTGACTTGAGTTGAGATTGGATGACTTGTGGTCTTGAGGTCACGCCTGAATAACATGGCTATGGATTGGTATTACACACGTGTCTATGGTAGCCGCTGCAGCCACTCTCCATAGTCTTGTGTGTAATTTCAAGCCGTAGCCATAGACTCGACTACAACATACACTGGTGAATTTTCCCAAAGCGCCCCCTACCACTGAGTAGGTTTGAAAATTGGTGAACTCAACTTCCATTCAATCAATGGATAAAATTCAAACAGGGGATTCTGTAACTAGACTAGTCAATGGTTGGCACCAAGACGTTCTTATAAAAAGTGAACATTGACTGGTGAGACTTACAGACTCGAAGACATAAACAATAGCCGTAACTTACTACGTCATGTGTTCGTCCAGGTGGACCAGACTTGTAGAGTTCATAATCTGGTCGACGTCGTAGGCGATGGGCTCGTGGTTCCTGTCTTGCCAGTAAGCCTGAGCCTGCTCACCGAACAGCATGCTGCTGTTGCGTCGGATCTGCGACAACATGTTAAGTGCCATCATGAAGTTGTACAAGCGCCGGCAGTTTTCCCACTCGTGCAGTACGAAGGTAGCCCTGTTTTACAAAAGTTTCAAATGTTTCTTTGTCAACAGGGGGAAAGGTATTGAAATCCTTGAGAATTGTACTAACATGAAAATGACTTAGTTTTTTTTTCTGCAGAATCGGTCACCTATCATTGCTTTCCACAGTGCTGTTTATTTTGTGCAGTGACTCTCTGTGTGACACCGTTACTTTCACATTTCATATCCCTTCACCTGAATTGACAGGCAGGGTTTTACAGAATTTTACATATTAGTCCCAATATTGACCTTCCACAGGGAGGGTTAACTTTAACCACTGGGGATGATTTTGATTTGAGAAATTGATTTGTATTTTTAAACCCACTTGGTGATGTCGTAACCCTGGCAGATGGACAAGCCGCACAGGAACCAGTCCTGTCGCTCCGGCCGTTCCCCGAGATACTTGACGACGATGTTGGCTCCCATGCTGAAACCGACGCTTATCAGCAGGCTTTCGGGAAACCTCTCCCTGACGTGATCCACGAGCGCACTGTACTCATCAGTGTCACCTGATCGCAGAAAGAACAAGACCAAACAAGCCTCGTAAAGCTGGTCTCAGACCTCTCGGAGTCTGAGTGCCAAAAATTCTATTCTATTGATTCTCAAGGGCTATTCAATGGAAGCCTTTTCATGCCTCTGGTCTACGCTTTATAATGGGCTGGATTTAGCCCATTCATTGGCATTACCAATTGGGGGAGTCAGGTTGGCGTAGCGGCATTTTCCTCGCCTTCCACAGGTGTGACCAGGGTTCGAATCCCACCTGGGCCAATATGTGGATTGGGTTTTCAGTCCCTACCTGATTCCGTGGGTTTTCACCAGAACATTCTTCTGGGGTTTTCCTCCCACCACTCTAAAACTGTAACTTCTTCTCATTGTCTTCTCTCCACAGGTTTCTTCAGGCTTGCGAGCTACAGTGCCTAGGGCACTTTTGAGGAATCCTTGGTTTCATTACCTGAAATTATTAATAATAATAATACGGGGTAATCCTATACGATGGCACTGCCCGGCTTTCTCCACCAGCCTATAACCATGTCTATTACACAGGCGATAGTCAGTTAGTTAGTCATTGCAGTAAGTAAGAAAGAGGACAAAAGGATGGCCCTCTGGGACCGGCACTGCCTGTCACAGGTTTGTTCTTACCGTAAGTGAAAATCCTTGGTGATGTCAGAGGTACATTTGGCAAGGAGCCGAGATGGTTGAGGACCGCTAAACGGAAGCCTTGTGATTGGGCAAAGGCGATGAACGTCCGGACGTAGGCCTTCTCACTGTTGTTGGCTATCCCTGGGACTACGCACAATGTATAATCACCTGCAAGTAAAAATGTATAAATTGCTGACACAAAAAAAAATATGCATTTTCCAAAATAATATTCACAATGTTTAGTGGATCACAGCAATAGCTTAATTTCCGGAAAAAAAAATACTTTATTCATCAACACACTTCCCGGATGACGAATGACTGACTTGTGAATCCATCACAAAAGGGACAATTCTAAATAGTTTGAATTTCCATGTTTTTCTTCCTCCAAAACTTGCTAATCACGAAATTGGTTTTCTTCTGAACATTAGCCAACCCAAGTCCTTGAAAAATGATTTCAGTACCGAACAAGAATCAAGGCTCTCCAATTACCTCCAGTTGGGTGTCTAGCCGTCGGCTCAAATATATCAAACGTGCAGGTGGCCCCGTCAGGCATGACGTAGGTAAAGCGTTCGCCCTGGGGCCAAGGGGCACTGAACCTGCCCACCTTTGCATAGATCGTCGTCTGTAGGTGGCCTGACCGACCCCATAGGAATGTAGGCACGTACCTGTGGGAATCAGATGCAAAACAGAATGTAATTATCACTTTTGTCAGATCCTTAACATAAAGGTACAATACAACATTTACTGTTGCTGTAATTTTCAGAAATGGATGGATTTCGGGGTTAGTCATTAATTGATAAATCTCAGTAATTTGTCAATAACAAGCCCAGGTTTTTATGACTAGCAAAGAATCATGTTTTTTTTATCCCTTGTTTTATTTCTTGGATTTGTTTTTCTTATGTTTACGCTTCTCTGCAATCCTTAGATAATTATGTTTTACCTAATTGAATGGAACTGAATCGAAAATACAAAATAACTTTTTCAATTTGGAATTTTGGTCAATGATTGCACTTACGTCTCTGTTAGTATGGGACACACTTGAAGAAGACGGTGCACAAATTTAGAATTTGCATGAAGGAGGCTAGGCGGTTCCGTCTTGTCCGTCAAGCCGAGAAACTTTACGGCGATAATGTAGACCAGAGCTGCTACTGACACAATGACCAAGGGCTCCATGCTGAGTCGGGATGACGGCAAGAATTAATTGGTGGGATATCGGCCTTTCACAGAAAAGTAAGAAAATGGTGAAGTGTTGAAAGCAAATACACAATGTATATCGTCAGTCCACCTAAAACGACGAGGATATGTTTTGACGCACTCGCATTCAATTTGCGTTGGACAACGCGCACGTTGCAAGCGTTATCTGCGTCAATTATGGTGACTCAAGAATAAATATGGGATGGGGCATTAGCACATGATCGCGTAATTGAATCCCGGTCCCACAGGCATGACAGGCACAGATGCTTAGATTAAACTACAAAAAAGGATTACATCTGCTTACATTCATGACACTGTAAATGCTTGGCAAGGGTCGAGTTTGTCTGGAATAAAAATGGAATCATTTAAAGGAACGAAGTGGCTATCGTTACGGCAGTCGTTGTTTAGCGCCCTCTACGATACTTTTTTGATACGCACGCAGGTATATAATTATTTGTTTTCACACGTTCTAGCGAGCAGTGCGACAGCTCAGTCGATAGAGGGTAGGATTTTGCACCGCGAGGTTGCGGGTTCGAATCTCAGTTTTGCACTCGAATTTTTTTCCTTTTCTAACCTGAGGCTTTGGAGGATTTTTTTTAAAAGGGAAATAAAGTCCGAATTTCATAACGTTCAAATTCACTTTTTTCCTTCTAATTTTTATATTTTCTTGTCATGTTTTTATAAAAGTTGCAGTCTACCGTAACGATAGAAAATGGGAGATGCGTTACGGCTGCCGTAACAATAGCCACTGCGTTAAAGGAAAGAATGTTGCATCCTGACGCCACTTTTTTCATGATAGGGCTATAGAAAATACTTTGAAAATGCACTGGACTCTCCATAGACTTTGTGCACAACCAAAGAAGTGGCGTCTGGATACAACATTCTTTCCTAATTAAAAACCTACCTTTAAGGGCTGAGGCTTTACCCAAAAAGAAGAGCACCGCACCGGCGGAATTTTTTGCCGGTCGCCTCGGCAGTGTCCATGGCAGTGTCGGCACCGTAATTTATGAAGAGCGACCTCAGTCGTCATCATACGGTCAACCAACCTCTGCGGCCTACTAATAATATAGACTGCACTTGTACTTTATTTCCTGTTTTATTTCTCCATGATTTCCCAGAATATTGAATTGGCACGAATCCTCGTTTCTTTTTAAAATGGAGATATGCTGATGAATCTTTTTTAAAAGGAGCGAGGAGAAAAGTATGTCAAGTTGAGATGTGCAACTTAAAGGGAATATACATCATTTGCAAACATCGAAAAACAAAACTACCAAGTTTTTACAAAATATATTAATAGGATGTTGGTAAATGACAGTCTAAAGCATCCTGTAAAATTATGGCACCAAGTGTGAAGTCATTTTTAAGAAAAGTGGTATTTTTGTATAAGTTTCCAACGGTGGTCGGCCGACCACTGTTGGAAAAACCTAACTATTTTCAACTACTGCTCCAAATTTACCATTTTTTCGTCCAAATTTTGTTTGCTATTGGTTACATGTTCATGAACGGGTGCAGGCCAGCTAGACTGGTTCCTTACCTTACATTTTTCTGGCATCTATAAATTGATCCATTTCATCTTTAGTGGAGTCAGGGAACCAGACTACTTGAACGCTTTTGTTTTTCTTGGTTTTTCCATTATTTTTGAACAAAAAACTTCAAACTTGTCGGTGTAACAATATTTGATCTATTATACTTACCCCTCAAATAGTTCATATCTGAAAATTACAGCAAAAGCCAATGATGTACATTCCCTTTAAAAAAAATGATAAATCAATCTATCCAAAGCAATGTCTCAAAAATATAAAATGAGCACAAAAATCCACCCCTCATTAACCCAACATACCCCACTGACACCATCACTCAGATCACTGAAAGAAAAAGTCCACTCTTGTTTTTTCCAATCAAGACACTATTAAACATTTTATTTCCAATCAAAAATGTAATCTTGTTACCAGAGGTTGTTTCCAATAATCAAGCCTGTAAATTTAGACACATTATTACACTGTTTCCGCTGTTTCCCTCTTCATATATCCTGTCTTAACTTGATCTGAAGGAGCACTCATCTTCAATACATGTATTTGAACAATCTGCACCGTTTCTCTTCCCCCACACCCCCCAAAAAATATTCCTGTGAGACAATTTTCTTTTGATAACAAGAAATAGATCTGGACATCAGGATAATTTAACAGGATTAGAAATATATTCACAAGATTAGAGTCAAAATTGGAGAAATTTTAATTGAAAGTAGTCCACTTTATATGCTGGAAATCCATTCCAATTTACAACAGCAAGTATCAAGAATTGGAAGAGGCAACATAGACGAAATCCAGGCTAACACGATTCCTCTACAATCATGAAGCCCAACTTCAATGAAAAAAAATAATATTGGGCACGCTATTGTACAAAGCAAGTCCCTGCTCTGTGACGGATTATCTGAACAATATCTAGCACAATGCTTTGGCCATTGAAGGGGGCCACCGTGATAGAATTGTCAGCATGCCCGGATTGGTCTATTCCAAGTGGAACTTCCAAAGTTTCTTATCCAAGTTTCTTGAGTTGTGAGACAGTATCTAGCACTCAAAAGAGTTATTAAAAGAAACATATTTAGGTGGACTGATTCAGGCACACAAAAAACTCATTAAAATTCAACTCTGACGTGCAGAAACTCCATAGCATAACACAAAAGAAGAACGTAAGCAACTGTCAGTACACATCACCGGTCATTCTTCAGGGGGTGCAGTTCATATAACCAGCCATACAAAATTACCGGTGGGAGATAGCTTGATAAACTTTATGGGCAGGACATGAACCTGTGACCTCCAGCTCACCAGTGCAGTCATTGCAACCACTAGAGCCTTAAAGGCAGATAAACTCTACCTCTGACAGATGATGAAATTGTGTTCATGATCTGTTACCCTTTTTTAAAGAATTAGAACCCGATTATAAGTAAGTCACCAACAGAGGCAGTTTTTAACCATTGAGGGGGTACTTGTGTACAGATGGAATCCTAGGCTTAGGACTCCGCCTGTGCACAGGTGCCTCTCTCAACGACTGAAAAGGCAGAGTTGGGGGAGACCACTGGGAGAAACATTCAACGCATGCCGACGGTATCTGACGCTCACGTGAAGACGCTTTGGATTAGTGCACTTCAGCGTTCGTATTTCAGGTGTCTCTCCCACCCCCCTCCAAATCTGATTCACTGTATGAGGCACCTCAGAAGATAACTGTAGCATAAGGCCAAGTAGATAACAAAAACAGTTTCTCATCTCTACCCACTTCCTGCCCGGCTTGTTTTAACAAAAGGTTGGTTTTTTTTACAGTTGCAATATATTTTGCAAATGTATTGTCAATATATTGCCTTTTTATTTTTGTTTCCAACAACCTTGAAGATATTACATGTAGAAAGGATGAAGACTCCTTTGGACATGATTTTGTATCAGCAAAAAAGTTGAGAAAATGGAAAAATACATCGTTATCTTAGAAAATCCGACATCTTGTAAAATCCTTATCTTTGGAAAAGAAATGAACAACCAAAAGAGGGTTGCCTCCTTCATTTTTTCCAAAAGCCCAGACGAGAAACTGTTTTATTTTTTTACTTGGCCTTAGTGTCCAAGTAGTCTAAATGGAGAGCAGCACTATGTCCATTCATGGTCTTGTGGCTGATGTGATCTCTGTCTGGCCTCATAGGGACCAGAAGAACGCCCTCGCTCGTTATCATACCATCGCCCCGACTGATCCCGTTGGTAGCCCCGGTCGTCCCTTGCTCTCTGGTCTTGTCTGGGCTGGTGACCCCACCGGTTCTCACCCCCGTGACCTCTGTGCTGTTGGTGACCCCACCCCCCGCCTTGGTCATGGTGGTAGCTCCGATTGTCGTGATGTCCCCTGCGTCTCTTCCAGTCCTCATGGTGACTGGCGTCGTCAAAGTTACGCTTGCGGCCTCTGTCTTGGTATTGCCTTGAGTCCGAACGGCTGTGGGAAGAAAAAAATGGTCCTTATGGTTTAAAATGTTAAAATCTGACCAACATTTAAACTTCACCAGTCCTTATGTGAAACATAAAATCAAACCACCTTAAATAATTCTTTCCCTTGAAGTGTGTACACATATCGTCAACGTTTTCACGAACTAACACTCACGCGCTAGTGGGTGTTACTTCGTGAAAACCACATAATCAACAATTTTGGTTTCACGATAAAACAGTCTTTACTTTAAGTTCTGGGAACATACCATTTCAAGACTTTGATCAAAGTATTTGAGAGGTAATTATGGGGCAAACTCTTCTGATTTTTATCTGTTTGGGAGGACAAAAATTATTTTTCTTGACTTATTGGAGGGGGTTGGCAATTATTAAAAACATTTGTAAAACATACTTGTCATTCCAGTTGGGCCTCTGACGTCTCATGGAGTAATTTTCAACGATGGGGGGCAGGTCCATTCCTTTGTTGATGTAGGGGAGGTACGCAGGATCCTCTTCGGTGTATCTTGTGGCAAACATCTCCTCATACTTAGCGATGATGTCATCAGCGTCTGGAGCAGATTCGGCGGGGTTGTCGGTGGCCAACGTCTTCTTTTCCTCCTCCGTTTGATCCATTGTTGGGTGCATTTAGGCAGTGTGGGACTGTTCAAGACGAACTGCTGACTTTTCGCACTAGTTCTGGCAAGAAGAACAGCATTAGTAACATGTTTATTTGGTCAAACACAAATCTTTGGAAAATGAGCCTTATTGATAGTGCTTGAGTGAAATTGCACAATGTATCACAAGTATTGTGGGAAGAGAAAAGGCACAAATTATCCCTTTTGCTTCCCACAGTGCTCTGTAGTAATTATGCAAAATCAGTCCAGTGATATTTCCAATGTGTAGGGGAAAACTATCAAATTTCCTTTGCTTCGTGAATCAGTCACGAAGCAAAGGGTCGCCTTGAAACAAAACAAAACTGACTAAAATACGGGGTAAAAACTATGATTTCGGCGGCTGTGTTGAGGCCAAATTTCACGGCCTCCCCCATTTTCGATCAGACTAATTTACTTTACAACGAAGTTTGTCTCCAGTTATAAATGTCGAATTCCTAATGAGCATGTCAGCTGGAGTTACTCTACTTCTGAAATCAGAAGACTGCTAGGCTGAAATCAGAAGGCTGCTCCATCAATGGCCCTAAATTCATTTCAGAGTTATGGATCATGTGGGCAAACTTTTGGTTGGACTTGTGTGCAGAAATTGAAATTACAGACAAAAGAATTTCGTCTATCACGGTGCATGTCCAAAATACATAGCGTGCCGACCCCCCAAAATGAAGCCTCTCAGAAGACTGACGGAGCAGCCTTCTACGGCCTTCTGATTTCAGAATCAGAGTTACTCTAGACCCACTAACTGGGGCGCTAGAACTCCTCTTTTGAACCCAACGCTGTAGCGCTGGCTCTTTGGAACAATACGCGCTACGCTGAACGCGCACACCAGCATGCATTTTGCACGCAAATACCGCATCATGGAACAAGCGCAAGGTGAAACGGTATAACGCATGGGTATAACGCATGGTCGCACCGTGCATTATACCGAATAATAATATGTCACGTGATCTACAATTCACCAATCAGATGACGGGGATTTATTCAGGTGTTGTATAATACATGTATAAGACCAGACAGGGCTCTGGAGTGCTCTGAAACGTGCAAAACTAAATCAGGCCTGCTTTACTCACAGTTTAGCCAGCAAATTTCTCCAAAAATTCCACAGGGGCAAAGAAAATGTCCTCAGTATTTCACCAACCAAGTTTGCAGACTCAATTCAATTTTTTAAAGGAGACTTTTCTTCAATAGTTTACACATGAGTGGGAAGTCAAGATTCCAAAATGGGGCTAAAGACTAGACTGGTACATGTCCCACCATGGTCCAACTATTTGGAAAGACTGACCTCTTCATTCAGTGTCAATAGTCTGGTGGCTTTACTATGGAGAAATGTGTAGTAAATTGAGACTAGTTCCCGCTTCATGCCACATGTTCTTTTGGCATGGTTGATTGATGCAGTACTGAAGGGTTGTTGGACTGGTTGTTTTAGGTGCCAGTCTATTTTCTTGTTTTGCATGTTTTCAATACCTTAACTTAAGTTTTGGGACTCTCACTCTCAGAGTCATACACAGTATTGAGAGTCCCAAATTTTCGGACTAGTATAAGACATGAATCTTGGACTAAGAAACATTTCCAATTTTGTTAGAAATACGTAGAAAATTTTCTTGACTCTCCATGTACAAAATTTAACGCTGAAATGGCGTCAGGTTGCCACATTCTTTACCAGCAGTTGTGTACAAAGTCTAACCAAAGATCCTATAGCGCCGTAGGATCTTTGGTCCATGGTCTAAGAAGCGTCCAGAAAAAATTCAGAATTAGAAATGTTTCTCAGATCAGTCCCAGATAAGATTCATGTCTTTTCAACATTTTTGCTAGCTTGAGTAACTCCAGCTTAACAAGCTCATCAGGAATTCACATGTGAATTCCTGATGAGCTTGTTAAGCTGGAGACTGGAGTTACTCAAGCCAAGTTTTGCAATGTCTGTCGACCTATTAAAAATCGCAGTGGCTATCGTTACGGCAGCTGTAACGCATTTCCCATTTTCTATCGTTACGGTAGACTGCAACTTTTATAAAAACATGAGAAGAAAATATAAAATTAGAAGGAAAAAAGTGAACTTGAACGTTATGAAATTCGGACTTTATTTCCCTTTTAAAAAAAATCCTCCAAAGCCTCAGGTTAGAAAAGGAAAAAAATTCGAGTGCAAAACTAGTTAGATGCGAACCCGCAACCTCGCGGTGCAAAATCCTACCCTCTATCGACTGAGCTGTCGCACTGCTCGCTAAAACGTGGGGAAACAATAATTATATACCTGCCTGCGTATCAAAAAAGTATCGTAGAGGGCGCTAAACAACGGCTGCTGTAACGATAGCCACTTCGATTAAAAATTCTATCAAATTCTATTATAGGCCTATTATAATTATGAAGAATAAAAGTGGCGTCAGGATGCAACATTCTTTCCCTATAACCTTCCATGTAGGTCCAAAGTTACTCGGACTAGCTACTCACAGAATACTAACATTTGTTGTGCTCAACACATGAGCAAAACGGAAGAAACACGGAAGATCCAGCACAAAGAATCAAGCCAGAAAAAGAAAACAGCAAAACAACCGTGACAACTGACGATGACATTGAATGACTGACAATGACTGACCGTACAACTTCAACAGCGCCACCAATAGGCCACATCACGCACGACCGGCCAACACGCATATTATTCGTGGATCGTGGGCATGAATATTGTATAAAGAGGGTGTTTTAATTTTGAAATAATAAAGCTGACACTTTTTTCCAAATTAAAATATGAAATCTGCCACAATTCTGTCTCTGCCATAAATCTTTATCGCAACACTTTGTTCTCATAATGTCATAGCACATCTCTTGTTTTTGTTCTTTTCCAAATTCAGAGTGGGGTGAGCCCTTATTTTTTACGTTGGGATCAAGGGGGGGGGGAGCACTTTTTTCCCCATTCCTAACTTTCCCTTCCAATATCAGGCGTTACACTATTGACAGCGCACTCTGTTACGTAATGTTTTTAGCGCGTTCATTGTTACGCCGAATCGCCTATTCAACTTCTCTCTGGATGGAGGAACCGCCCCTTTCTCACACTATTCTTCTTTTGGTTCACTTCTTGCAATCAACAATTCGTTGCCTGTCGCGCGACCGTTCAGTCCGGCATGGTACTGGTCTCGCGCCCACGTAAGGCCAAACCCAGGACACAGTGACTATATAGTAGAGTGGGCCAGCCCTTTTCCCCCGAAAAAAAGTGGATCCAAAAATGTTCCGCCCCAAATTTGATATAAAAAAGCAAGGGGCAGTATTCAAGTCATCGGTGCATGGTGGCGCAATTTTAATTCTGTACGCAGGTAAAGAAAGAAATGGATTTGGTGATTTCCTTTGGGGGGGGGAGGGGCCATGCCTATAATTATGCGATGGAAGTAATTGATTCGTGCTTTAGGGCCTACACACAGCTGCGATTAACTGGGGAATTTTTGTTTCAGGACATAAAAAGTTCATCATATTTTGGTACAATTTTTTTTATATAAGCTCTTGCGGAAGCTATGAACCTATCACATCCCTGCCCAGTTTATGAACAGTAGGTTGTTGGGTAATTTAGAAGGGGCTTGGAAAGAGTGTACATGCCGGGGCGTTTCTGTTTTAGTTTTAATACTGTATCTCGCTTCCAATGCAACATACCCGAATACCATCTAAATACAGGTTGATCGGGTAAAGTGGTGTGTGCCCCATTCGCTCTAGTTTGTATCGCGATGTTGGAACAAAAGCGGAGAAGCTGAACTGGCGACTTCGCGTCCAAAAAAGTTACGTAACGGCAGGAGAAGTGCGTTGCACCTAAAAGTAAAAGAAAGTATTAAGTAACGTTTTCACAGTGAACCATTGTGAACGTATAAACACTGCCTTATGGGGTACCGGAACAATGGGAGGTACCCCATAAGGAATGCCCACCGACTAGCGGGGTACTGTTTTGGTACCCCACAAGTTTTTCACGAAATAGATATATGGATTTTACTCAAAAACTAGGAATTTCCAAGGTGGGTTGGAAAAAAATTCCAAGGTGGGTTTGAAAAAAATTTAGTACACGAGAACAAAGGAAGTCCCCCACTTCTATTATGCGCGTGTGTGCATGCATTTGTGGTTTGATCCTTCGCTCGCCGCCCGCCGCCCGCCGCCCGCCGGTGCGGCTTTCGAAATTTCTTTGGTTTAAGACAGACACTTTGAAGACCTTTTCGTATTCTGCAGGCAACTTCCTCGGGTGTGCACGGTTTCTGGGGGGGGGGGGGCATTAAAGACGACATCCCGTGCTGTTTACATACCTTTTTCTTCTAAGCTAACTAGTTTTCGATGTGCATCTTTAATTTGTTTAAAGAGAAAATTTACTTTTATTCCAATTTTGGGCGTCTGCACTCCTCTGAAAAGGAGTTTAATTTTGCACACAAATGAACCCACCCTGGGTGAGCTGAATTAATATCTGGCAGCCAATCATTCGAAGAAATAAGTCGGTTTCTAAACGTCGTTGGATTCTAGGAAAATAGCAATCAGTTTTCGAGGTGAAACGCAGTGAGGTTTCTAAACGTCGTTGGATTCTAGGAAAATAGCAATTAGACAGTCACTTTTCGAGGTGCAACGCAGTGAGGGGACGCATCCTTAACAATTGAACCTGTGATTTCGGCTATTACATTAGCTCCTCTCCCCAACAACAAAACATTGCATTGTGAAATCGATAATTTTCTTACAGTATAAAAGTTCTTCATTTTTGCATATAAAATAAGACATGATTTAGGTTGGTACCCAACACCCTATCATGTACGATATTAATGGATTAAAAACCAGTTCAGTTGCTCGGCGGATCTGTTTGTGCGCAAACGCAACCTGAAATAAAAAGCTACTTATTTGGACGCCCCCACACCCCCCCCCCCAAAAAAAATAGTAAAAAGGTTTTTGTTTTCGGGGGATTGAGCAGTATTCCACAAAAAAAACAGTGATAAAGAAAGAACTAGAAGATAATTGGGTGTATTTAAAGAAAAAATACTGCAAGTGAGACTTGCGCAATCCCCCTGGCATGCTGGCAGCTTTTTTTTTTATAAAGTCAGTGTCCCTAACCAAAATGGGACATTTATATTGTTTTAGCAATAGTGACCTTGACCTTTGACCTGTCGGCCCCAAAATCAAAAGGCTTCTTAAGACTACCGAGAAAAACTCACAAACCAAATTTCAAGTTCCTAAGTAAAGCATTTCTCAAGTTATCGTGCTGACAAGAGCTAATCTAACCAAAACATAACACAACTGCAGACACCCACGTTTGTTTATGGTGGAAATCGATGATTTCCTTTTGTTCCTCTTCCCTGTACCTTTGTTTGTATACTAACTTTTTCGCAACAGCGCTCATTGGTTTTGTACACGTTTTCCAACGGAGGGGTCCTTGATTTGGTTCCTATCCTCGATTCACCGATGATGTTGCACGTGTGTGTCCTCGATTTACACCATAAACAAACGCAAGCATAATTATATACAGACATACATACCTAAAGAAATACACACAGAAGGAATACATACTTGAATTTGTTTCCGTGTGGAGTCATTTCTTTGTTGTCGTGTACTGAAGTTTTCGAGTTTAAAAGTGTGGTTTCAAACTGCTCCTATTCTAACCAGAATTAATTTCCTGAGCAGAAATTTTGACTTAATATCCCTTAGGCCTACACAAAATACTTCAATTTGCAACAGATCAACACACCTCAATTGGAAATTCCTAGTTTTTGAGTAAAATCCATATACATGTAACTAATTCGTGATAACCTTGTGCAGACATATTCACCTATAGAAATTGCTCTTTAGAGACGTGTACAATCTTTTGTTCCCTGTTGTTCACATGTATCCAGAGGGTACCGTGCAACACATCCCTATCGCAATATCCCCCTCCGGCTTACAGCCAGGGGGATAAAAAGGGAGAAACACATTGGCCAAACACGTCCAAAGATGTCTCGTGAATGACGTTTTTTTTAGCTTCTCCCTTCGACGGAACTCGCAATATGTGTTTTTAAGACACCCTTAAATAACAGCATTGATAGGGAGCTTTAATAACACATTCTAATTAATTTTGTTGCTGTAGTATTAATTTCATCAGATTCATATCCTACAATATCCGATTCAACTTTGGCTCTCATAGCAAAGTGCACATGTAAACAAAGCGTGACGTCATTATGTCTTATAGGTCTTTTGGTCGACATGCAGACACTGAGTTAACAGGCATACACCTCCCAAGCGCAGGTTAAGAAAAGCCGGTATATGCCCAATTCGCTCTTGTATCACGATATTGGAACAAAAGCGCAGAAGTTGAACGGGAAAAGGCTTCCATTACATTGCAATAACAATGCCTTTTGAACAAAAAAGTTACGTAACGGAGGACTCTGCGAACAGTACCTATGTTTCACGACGGGTGCAGCGCATACTGTTGGCAACTCCTCCACGGTGAAACCAATGATTTGATCCTCTGCAAAGAAACTGGTGAACAATCGTATTCGAAAACAAAGCTCAAGAGTCACTCGCGCGAGACCAAAACTCGCCCCGCAGTCTTAAAAATAAACTATACTAGGAATAGACGACACATCGTGACCATACCAACATAACATGCTCCACACAAGTCATGCTCATAGTCAGCTACCGTCCCTAGACGATGTAATAATAATATGGGCACTCGTACGGTGAGCCGGGCCCGCCGCTTTCAAAGTGCCTTAACTTACTTTTACTTTTTATACGTGATAAAAAAAAAACCGACGGTGAAAATCGAACCTGTCTTACAAATGTTAGCTTAAAATTCTACAACAAAATAAATTAAAAGCAGACACAAGGTTAAAGTGAAAGGAAAAAGGAAAGGACATCGAGTAGTCAGTGGATACTGCAACATGGACTTACATGTTCAAATGTTTCGTTATAGAAGTCAGTTCTGTTCATTTATTTCCAGTGTTCACAAATCAGTATGTAAGGGTATACATGTACATGTCCAAGTAAAAATTGTAGAGGAATCCATAAGAAAATACAGCTTATATAGGCATGGGCCTTATAACACAGTAGGCCTAATGATCAGACTCTAAGTGACAATCAAGCAAAATGTTTACATGCAAATAAAAACAAGGGTACATATCAATAATTTTATAAGCCTACAAAAGAATGTCAGGAATAAATAACTATAGTACCTCATATAAAAGTAAAATTCAGCAGAATAAATTTGTAAACGGCGAATGTACCGTATACGAATAAAAACAAAATCAGAAAAAAGTGCCTTAATGATTCAGGTTCGTTTACAAGTCATTTAAATCGTTTGTTTATAACGGGAGTTTAGAGGTTTTTTTCTTACATGCACATATGAATACAAAGCGCAGATTGAGCTAACAATCCTCCAAGTGTTTCCAACTAAATATAAAGACTCGGTGGTTTAAAGACTGTATATACAATAGCCTAGTGGTTAGGGTACTTGTCCACAGACCGCGGGGTCCGGGGTTCGAAACGGACTTTCGTGCAATATTTGTGCACCCATAGGCCTACACTGATTTGTGAACGCTGGCAATAAAATGAACTGAACTGACTTCTATAACGAAACATTTGAACATGCAGGTAAGTCCTTTTACTTTGACC